ACACACATGCACGCATGCACGCATGCACGCACACACACACACACACACACACATAATCAAAAACATAAAAACCCAGATTCAACGTGTCAGAGAACTCCAAACACAGTAAATATCCAACACACACACACACACACACACACACACACACACACACACACACACACACACCCCTACCTCCCTGCCCTAGGGGATAGTAAAGATAGTAGTGGGAGGCACCTGGGCCCACTCACCATCCAGAATCTCCCAGGCCATACCCCCATGGGGCTTCGGGTCAGGACCTGACTGTTCTTTCCTTGCAGCAAACCACTCTTTCAAGAAGATTGAGTTCCAGCCTCCGGAAGCCAAGAAGTTCTTCAGCACAGTGCGAAAGGAGATGGCTCTGCTGGCCACCTCACTGCCCGATGGCATCATGGTCAAGACTTTTGAGGACAGAATGGCAAGTGGGCTGCTGGGAGCTTGGGGAGGCAGGGATGAGTACCACTGGGCACTAAGATGGAGCAGCACCCACCTTGCCATATTCCCAGGGATGTGGCTCAGTCACCTGAGGTCTCAGAATGTCGTCCTGCACACTTGAGGGTCCAGGTAGTCCTCCCTCTACAAAGTAACCAGGTGGTGGTGGCACACTTTTAATCCCAGCAGTTGGGAAGCAGAAGCAGACAGATCTCTTAAGACCAGCCTGATGTACAGAACAGGACAGCCAGGGCTACATAGAAAACCCTGTCTCAGAAAACAAAACAAAAGTAGCTTTGAATCCATCTAAGATTGGAGCCTAAGAGGAACTTGGCTGCCTTTTGTATTCCCTGATCCCCCAAACCCGAGGCCTCTTCCAGGGACCTTATCTCAAACAGTGCTGTCCCCAAGGCCACCACAGCGTAGGGCTCTTTGTAGTTTGCCACCACATGCAGCTGCCCTGGTGGACCCATGCCAGGAAGTCAGTGTCTTCCTGACTCAGCGTCTCCAGTGCTGGGATTCCAGGTGGAAGCTGCCGCACCCATTCCTTGCTCAAGCTTCCCAGGGACACCTGTTTCACTTGGGTGATTCTTTCAGAGAACAGCTTGGTGCAGCTTTGCTGAGGGAGTGTAAGAGCACCTACTTTTTGTTGGTGCTTTTCCCATGACTTCACGATATCTCCCCACGGTGCCTCGGACCTGGTGGAAGGGCCCTGGCACGTGTGCCCACATTCACATACATGCAGAAATACAATGGCGAATCCTGGATGTCATAGTTCCTCTGGCCCCTGCCAGTCCTTGCCGTTGAGCTTAGCCCTCAGTACCATCCTTCCAGCAGTGAGGCTACACCTCTGTCTGTCCCCAGAAGGGAAAGCAGACATTTGGATTGGAGTCTCCATGGCTGTGACTTTGGAGTGCAGCCTCCTCCTTCCCCCCATCGGCACAGTGCTCTGGGAGGTCAAGGAACTGAGACACCAGCTCTGTGTTCCCTTCCAGGACCTCTTCTCAGCACTAATCAAGGGCCCCACTCGGACTCCCTACGAAGATGGCCTCTACCTGTTTGACATTCAGCTTCCCAACATCTACCCAGCGGTGCCCCCCCACTTTTGCTACCTCTCCCAGTGCAGTGGCCGCCTGAACCCCAACCTGTATGATAATGGGAAGGTGTGCGTCAGCCTCCTGGGCACCTGGATTGGAAAGGTGAGAATGGGCTCCAGTGGAGATGGCGGCGTAGTGTGGGGCTGGGGTCCATCTGGGGCAGACGTGAAGGTTTGATTTGTGTTTCAGGGGACGGAGAGGTGGACAAGCAAATCCAGTCTTCTCCAGGTGCTCATCTCCATCCAAGGTACGATGGGCTGGCAGACATGCTGACAGGCTATTCCCAAGCCTGCCTTTGTGGGCTTACCCCACTTACTGAAGGAATCTTTCTGCAGGTCTGATCCTGGTAAATGAACCATACTACAACGAAGCTGGCTTTGATAGTGACCGAGGCCTGCAGGAAGGCTATGAAAACAGCCGCTGCTACAATGAGATGGCACTGATCCGGGTGGTGCAATCCATGACCCAGTTGGTGCGACGGCCTCCTGAGGTCTTCGAGCAGGAGATCCGGCAGCACTTCAGTGTGGGTGGCTGGCGTCTGGTGAACCGCATTGAGTCATGGCTGGAAACCCATGCCATGCTGGAGAGGGCCCAGGCACTGCCCAACGGGGGCCCTAAGGACAGCAGTTCTCTGGAGCCCCTGGCTGCAGCTGAACTCTCAGACTCCGGCCGAGAAGAGCCTGAGGATGTAGGGATGGCCCCTGGGGAGGTCTCCCAGGGCTCAGACTCAGAAGGTGGTGCCCAGGGCCTGGCCTCAGCCAGTAGGGACCACACAGAGCAGACTGAGACAGCCCCTGATGCGTCAGCACCGCCCAGCGTTAGACCAAAGAGGAGGAGAAAGAGCTACCGCAGCTTCCTGCCCGAGAAGAGCGGCTACCCTGACATCGGCTTTCCCCTCTTCCCTCTTTCCAAGGGCTTCATCAAGACCATCCGGGGGGTCCTGACACAGTTCCGTGCTGCCCTGCTTGAGGCAGGCATGCCGGAGAGCACAGAGGACAAGTAGCTTCCAGGGCTTGAGAAAGGAGTGTCATGGTGGGAGAGGCCGGCCGCTGCCTGCTCCTTCCCTTCCTGAGATCTTGCCCCTCCCTGTCCCTGCCCCTTCCTGTCCCCAGTTGGAGCCTTCCACTGCCCTCTCCTCCCTGCAGCGGCAAGTTTGATGAAGTGCAAGAGGTGTCCCGAGATGCTGCGCTCTCTCCCTCAGTGAAGTCTCAATGGCAGGGCCCTGAGGCACTGAGACTCCGCTGGCGTTCCTCTTGTTGCTCTAGGCAGAATGTCTTGGCACTTGTCCCCTAGCTGTCTGTCCCTTCTCAGGTCAGAGGTGGGGTGTTGAGGGCCCTGCACAGGTCAGGAGGGAGGACGTGCCTTGCATGAAGTGTGGCTGCCCCTGCAATGCTCCCGGCCCCTCCTCTCCAGCTTGACTGTAGCCTCCCCACATCCACACCTTCGTGCTGCCACACTGGGTCCTTTAGTCCCCCGTACCTCCATCTCTTGGAGCTATGGCTGCTCTGGCCTGGCAGTGCGTTACCGCCCTTAGGCCTGCTGACCTTACTCTCTAAGAGAGATTGGGACTAAGCTAAGGTTCAGAGTGACACCCAGGAGAAGTGGGGGCCCTCACATAAATAAACATGAGTTAAGGACAGGGTGCTGCTGGGAAAGAAATGGCTGTCGGTGCCTTGCTCTTCTAGTCCAAGCTGGCAGTCAGTCCTGCCCAGACCTGCCTGTGCGGGCTGTACTGACACCTGCTCCATCCAGCCTCGTTTTGTCCCTGCTGAGGCCAGAGGAGCATCTGCACAAACCAGGCCAGCAGCAGGGCCTCTTCCTATCCAGTGGCTCCTGTCTGCCTTGGCTTACAGACTCTGCTAGCGCAGTCGGAGGAGGGAGGCTGGATGGCCAGTGGGAGCTGCACCCCACCCCACAGGCCCAGAGGTTTACAAGTTTCTAAGCTTTTCATAATGTGAAGCTCCAGGTAGAGGATGCCGTTGAGCATATTGCAGCTATGTCATTTCTGGTGTATGTATGTAATATTTAAGGTTGGGAAAATAAATCTCAAAAGCAAAGATACTAACTCTTACTAGAAAAATGAAACAAAACAAAACAGACAAAAAAAAAAAAAAAAAAGCCAAAGCATGATGCGTCTTGTCAGCCTTAAGCGGGCTCCACGCCTGTGCTGTGCCAAGACTGCCGGGCATCAGAGCCTTGGGAAGGACAGAGCCAGAACTGGACACTCACCGGGAACCTGTCAGTACCCTGCAGACATCATGAGTGCCTGGTGGGTCTGTGCATCCCAGGGCATCATTCATGTGGAGATGTGAATGCCTGCTGCTTATAATACCTGTATAAAGTGCTGCGTGATTAAACTTTTTTTTTACTTGCATTTTTGGGGGGCTGGCTCATTAACAAGACAAGGTGATACCATTAAACCTGCCTCTGCCATTCATTCAGGCGCTGTTGCCTTCTGTGTGCCCAGACCCACCTCCCATACCATTTCCCCAAGGGAGTCTGTGACACTGGGTCCTTCATCTGCAGTCCTGGGGTCTGTTGGGGGGGGGGCAGTGAGTATCCTGATGGCAGTCAGCTTCCAGATTCTGGGGGAGCCAACATCACAGCATCTAGCAATAGGTATCTGGGCTACCAGCCGGAATGGGGGCCCAGTTTGGGGATCGTCATCTACCCTTTTCCAGCTGCTTCGTCTGTTCATTGGGAAGGGCCAGGTGCCCTGGGTGAGCACTGTGTGAACTGATGCTGCCTGTCATTTTTAAGTTTGAAATTGTCAGAATCCCTTCCCTGAAGAGACTAGCAAGTCTTTCATAAGATCCCCTCAACAACTGGGAAGCCAGTGAGCTTTCTGGGCCTAGTTGCAGAGCATGGATGAGGGGTTAATTGCAGGAGCATAGGGGACTCCAGAGCAGTCACACTAGAAAGTCCACCCGGCATAGGTGATGGCTTCCCTGGAGCCACGCGGAAGGAATGCCCCCACTCCCACCCTGTTGATTATATGTTCTAGCACTTCCCATGACCACTTGGAATTAGGGCAGCATTGTATGTAAACGGCTGAGAGGACAGTCCAGCTTCTGGACAGGGCCTAGTCAGCAGGCTCACATTCAACAGGATCTGCATGCTGCTTCCCTGATGCTAACTCGGGAAGGATCTCCTGCTCCATCCATTCAGGGTGCCTACTGTTTGACTTCAGAGGTGGAGCACTGAGCCTGTCTTCCTTTGTGTAGGGTGGGGCAGCTGGCCAGGCTCTGGGGGCCTCTCCAACTGAAGGGGGTCTGATTATCAGTCCCTAATGAGTTGATGTGCCCAGCATGGACAAACATCACTGCCATGGGGGGTGTAACTGAAAAGTGCTTACACAGCATGCTGGAGACCCTGGGTTCGATTCATAGTACAATTCCAAGGCCTTGCTGGTGTAAGACCCCCACCCTCTTCCCAATCCCCAGGACAGGATCAGCAGGTTGGAAAAGTCACTTTATTTGGGTTTGATTCTCAGGGGAAGGGCACCAAGAGCAACGTTGAGTTGCCTTCTACATGCAACTGTCCAGCCAACGGGCTCTGGTCCAGCGTCTCATTCTAACATTTAGAGGGCAGAGCCTCTTTCCAAAACAGCCCCATCTTCCTGCTTTCTCTACAGAGTCCCCACCACCTCCATATGAGCTTTAGATCCCTTCCCATGGATGGATGCAGGAGAGGGCCCGATCTCAGTGTAGACATAGTAGACAAAGGCACAGAGAGCCAGGCAATCATAACGGCTCTGGAGGTGGCCTCTGCTGGGGCTCGCAGCTGGACGGGGCATCCCTACTCCCACAAACCATCCAAAAGTAGTTTGGGTGCACCTGGCCCTGCACAGCTTCACACAGCATCAGTTCTCCATCCACAGAAAACATGCCCCTCCGGGTCCTGGGCTCCAGGCGGAAGGCCACCACAGGAACGTGCACCAAGTATGGGCAGTTACACTCCATATGCTTGCCCTTCTGCATGGCCAGGAAGAGGCGCAGCAGCATGGCCCTGGACACCCCTGCACGCACATAGAACAGATGCATAACACCAGCCTCACAGCGGCCCATGGGTGCCACAAACATCTCCGTGCTCAGGTGGGTGTGCAGCAGTACCAGCACCAGAACAAAATCCTGTTCCGGCACCACAGTCCAGTGAGAGGGCACTGGCTCCTCCAGGGGAACAAGGTACGAGTCCACGGGGCCCTTCTGCGCCGGTTCAGGAGATGCAGGCATCTTAGAGGGAGCGTTTCCTACAGGAAGGTAGGCCAGTTGGCCCTGGTAGATTCTCAGGGTTGCTAGGCGAAAGATGGTCCCCACAGTGAAACGAAACTCCCCCAGGCGCCTGTACTTCTCACTCTCCAGGTCCACATCAGCGACGAAGCCCCAGGCCAGGCTGAGCACAGAATAGAGCTGCAGTCCAGACGCGGTGCGCAGCGACAGCAGGTTCATAGGTGACAGGTGCCGGCGGCACAGTAGCAGTGTGCAGTTGATCAGGAGGTCTTCGTTAGTCACCTGCTCGTACCTGCAAGGTTAAAGGTCAGACGGGGCAGAGCAGGAGCCCCCACGCAACCTCTTTTTATTTCTTTTGGGGAGTGGGGGCTAGCAAAGCAACAGTGGTCCCTGGGGCACTGTTTGTAGCAGCAGATGGAGACTCTAGGACCAGTAAACTGAGCCTAAGGCTCCAGAAGAAAACGTGGAGCTTCCCACGGGAACTTGGAAAACCTGGTGGTAGTGGACATGACACCCACGGGCACCCTCAGCTCTCACCCAGCATAGTAGTTCACGGAAGCTGCCAGTGCGTTGCCAGAGCCTCCGGGGAGGCTACACAGGGGCTTCCGGATGGCAGTCTCCCAGTCAGGCCGTTCCATGAGCCCGTTCACCACCTGTTAAAGCAGAGTGGCCTCAGCCCAGGAAACACCATCCTGACCCTCTGGGCCATCGTCGAGCTTAGCCCTTACCTCATGCAGTAGACCATCGCCGGACATGACCACGAGGGCATCCCAGGGATCCAGTTCCTCTGCACACACCAGCTCCCTGGCATGGTTCTGCCGCTCTGGGGGAAGATTTGATGTTCTCAGAGCTGGTTTTCTGGCAGAAGATGCTCCCTTCACACCCTGGGCACAGTACTCACCAGTGAGCAACAGTTTGAAGGATACCTCAGCCTCCTCCAGGAGGGGCTGCACGAAGCTCCGGAAGAGCTGCAAAGCCTTCCCCTTGCCGCCCCGGGGGTTCAGCAACACCAGCACTCTGCAAGGCCGTGGGAGTAGTCCCCGAGGACAGCCTGCTACAGACAGACAGGTGGGGCTTGAGAGAGGACTCAGGAATTAAGAGCACTTGCTTCTCTGCTACAGGATCCAGGCTGAGTTCCAGCACCCGGATGGTGGTTCACAATGGTCCCAAACTCCAGTCCCAGGGATCCTACACCTTCTTGTGGCCTTCAAGGGCACCAAGCACACACGTGGTGCACATAGATAATCCATGCTATCAAAACACTCATACAGCCAGGTGGTGGTGGCATGCACCGTTAATCCCAGCACTAGAGAGGCAGAGGCAGGCGGATCTCTGTGAGTTTGAGCCAGCCTGGTCTACAGAGCGAGTTCCAGGACAGCCAGGACTACAAAGAAAAACCCTGTCTCAAAAAAAAAACAAAAAAGGAGGGGTGGGGGGAGGAGGAGGAGGAGGAGGAAGGAGAAGAGAGAAGAGAGGAGGAGGAGAAGAAGAAAAGGAGAGAATTATGGCAATGTCACAATCAGCCGCTAGAGGGCGGAAGAGAGCCGCAGTGCCATGAATGGAGGAACCCAATACTTGGGTAACTGACCAGCACAGTCCTGCTAAACAAGCGGCCTGCCACAGGTTGTCCCAGATGGGACAACTCCCTCGATACCTCTTCTTTGGCTCAGGGCCAGACGACTTGTGGCATCACAAGTTTCTGTCGAGCGACCCTAAGCTTTCTGTGGCCCATCATTTCCTGGGGAAAGGGATCCTTTAGCCTTTCGCAGACAGGTACCCCACAAACCTGGTTCCATAGCCAGGTCCCGGGGCTCCCGCTGACCAGGGGCCACCGGCGCTGTCCCGGCGGTGCCAGGGGTAACGGCGACTCCCGTCTTCAACTCCTTATCGGTGTTGCCCAGGAGGGTGTCTGGCGGCTGGCTGTGGGGCTCGCCCTCTCCACCTCCCTGGGCTGTGAGAGCGGCCCCGTCATTCCCCGAGGCGGCCAGATCTGAGGGACAGGAGGAGACAGTGTTGGCGGGGTTCGCGGCCTGGGCTCTATGCCTGTGGAGCAGGGTGCGCAGCCCGAGCTCCTGGCTCGCACA